GTGGCATGACCTTAGACATTCTCACAGGAAAGAATAAAGAATTGAGTCCATCAATAGACTATAGTCCCCAGAAATAAACCTGTGCATCTACTACAGCCATCTGATTCTTAGCAAAGGTGCCAAAGACATACTTTGGAGAAAAGACAGTCTCTTAAACAAATGATATTCAGAACACTGGATATCCTTATGTGGAAGAATGAAACTAGATCCTAATCTCACATTCCATACAAAAATCAACTCAAAATGGATCAAAGACTTTAAGACAATTCTAGAAGACTTGAAACTACTAAAGGAAAACAGGGGAAATACTTCAAGATATTGGCACAGGCAACAATTTCCTAAATGAGACTCCAATAGTCCAGGAAATAAAAGGAAGAATAGACAAATGGGACTGCATCAATAAAAAGCTCCTGTACCAAAGAAAGCAAGTAACAGAATGAAGAGTCAGCTCAGAATGGGAGAAAATCTTTGCCAGCTATTCAATGACAGAGGATTAGTCTCCAGCATACATAAGGAACTCAAAATGTTAAAAACAAAAGAACAAGCAATCTAATAAATAAATAGGCAAATGCTCTGAATAGACACTTTGCAAAAGAAGAGGTATAAATGGTCAATTTTTTTTTTTTTTTTTGGTGCCGGGAATCGAACTCAGGACCTTGCAGTTGCTAGGCAGGCACTTGTACCACTGAGCCGTATTCCTGGCCCTAAATGGTCCGGGAATATATGAAAAAATATTCAACATCAGTAGCCATCAAGGAAATGCAAGTCAAACTTCACTGAGATTCCATCCCACTGCAGTCAGAATTACTATTATCAAAAAATAATAATAGCAAATGCTGGTGAAGATTTGGAGAAAAAAAAGCCCTTATACACTGTTGGTGAGAATGCAAATTAGTATAGCCACTGTGAAAGACAGTAAGGACATTCCCTCAAAAAAATTAAAAATAGATCTAGTATATGATCCAGTTATACCACTCCTGGGTATATATATGAAGAAAATGCAGTCAGTACACAAAATAGGTATCTGTATAACCATGTTTATTGCAGATCCATTCCCAATAACCAAGACATGGAATCAGCCTAGGTATACAATCAACAAATGAATGGATTTTTAAAATATGGCCTATATACACAATGGAGTATTTGTGATAAAGAATAATGGAATCATGCCATTTTCAGGAAAGTGGATGGAACAGAAGGTCATCATGTGTAGTAAAATTAGCCAGACACAGAAAGACAAGATTAACCCAGTTTTACAAGTCTTCTCGGTTTTACCACCTGTGATGTAAGTGGCACTTTGTTCTATTTCCTCTAAACTTAACTCTATTAAGCTTTCAACTGTATTGCATTTCTAGTATAAAGACTTGCCCAATATAACAGTAAACAAACACTCTATCCTTCTTGTTTCACTAGGCTATTGTATCTTTGAGTTAGGTTTTGTGTAACTCCCAACATTTTCTTACCCCTTAAATCATTCTGATTCCTCTCTTTGGCAGGACAGTATCCATTTCTAATATTCTTCCTTTTAGTATGATCATCACTGCTGTGTTTTTAAAGGAATGGAATAATTTTTTCTCTCTTCTTTCCAGAACCTTCCAGGTAATACTGGTCACAATACTCACAGAAAGTTACTCACTTAAAATCATTAGAGGACAATCTTGAATAGCTTCTAGGTCTTCTCCTGGGTCATAAATGATTTGTGATGGCTCATCAACTCCCAGGAAGAGCTAACACATATACAACCTGTATTGTCTATTGTATATATATAATTTTACTATTTACGAAAACCTTTAATGGTGAGCTTATGTTTTGACTGTAGGTAGGATCATTTTTCCAACCACTTGTTTATGTATCAATGATTGGCTCAGTATCTGCTTTGTGACATACTATAAATATTTATATGGCTAAAGAACTTTTTCAGAATTTGTAAAACTTCTTTGAGGTAATAAATATAGCACAGGGGCTGGGGACTTAGCTCAGCGGCAAAAGCACCTGCCTGGCAAGTGCAAGGTCGTGAGTTCGGTTCCCGGTACCGGAGAAAGACCAAAAAAAAATTAAAAAATAAAAAAAAATAAATATAGCACAAAAGTAATATTAAAAATACTAGGTGATTTCTAATACAAAAAATATTAATGGTAATTCAAATATTTTATTTGCTTTTGGTTAAGAGTTGGTTATTGAGCAAATGTTAAACACTGGGGATCACAGAAACAGTTATTTTCTCTTTCCAAGAAGTTCATTTAGAGTTTATCTCAAAAAAGATAAAGTAGATCATCAGATAGTTTCATTAAAATAAATTCACATTATTTTTAATTTTGTGAGTGAGTGCATGTCTTATAAAGAGGACATGCTGGCCCATAGTAAAATATGGGGTAAAGTAAATCACATGCAAATTTATGGGAACAAATTCTCCCCTTTGTGCAGGAAAGCTTTGCTGTCAATATACACAGATGAAATGATGGTATTTCTTACTTCCTGACCCTGAGTTCTCTGCTGCCTGCGGGCCAAGAAGCAGTCAAAGAAAAGAATATTATGGCTGTCTCTGGGAACTACATCGCCTGCCCCCAAGTTCACATTCTCCCAGCATCTGTTCTGTGAATCTCAGAAGAGTCTCAGAAATAGGAGGCCTTTGCTTCCTCCAGCTCTGATTTTTTCTCCTGAAAAAGAACAACCAACTTGAGATAGCAGTAAGACTATGGGTGTTTCAGAAGGCAAAACCCCTGAATAATAATACTGTCATTGTCAATGTTGACTTAGAGAAAGCTAAGTGCCAGACATGATATGACATGAGAGAGAGAGAGAGAGAGAGAGAGAGAGAGAGAGAGAGAGAGAGAGAGAATCATATATTCTCTAACCTCAGCAATCCTGTATAATATATATTACTAGCAGCATGGTCATAATCTTCAGTTTACAGATGACAGAAATGGGACTGAAGGAAGTTAAGAAACTGGCTCAAGACCATCAGTTGGTAATATTCAGAACTAGGGTTAGAACCGAGGCGTCTGGTCCCAGCATCCATACTTCCAGTACCATTGCACACTTACACATGACCACGCTAAACATGCGCTCACTATCTGAAAAGCACACCGTAGCTCAGACATCTGCTCATCTTGGTACCTCTTATAACCCCTGCCACAGTGGCCAATACTTCTCGAACTCATGATCCTCTTGACTCAGCCTTCTGAGTGCTAGGACTACAAGATTGCACTACAACACCCAGCTAAAGGGATCTCAATACTTGTGATCAGACAATAGAAAGAGGAGCCACTCCCTTCCCTACCCACTGCCTTCTTCTCCAGGCAAACCCATAGGTGTGCCTGAGTATATCAATGCACGCTTCACCACTACTTGAAGAAGGAGACATCGAGCTTCTTGCTTGCTCCTTACATTTAAATGTTCTCATTTTTTCCTTAAAAGATACATACTTTCCTTGGGTTTAGACAGACCTAGTGATTTACACTTTTTCATTTCTGATGTTTGCACTAATCTATCTGTGCAACTCAAAAACGATAGCACTTTAATGATTAGAGGTGGCTTCATAGACGGTCCTACATCTCATTCTATAACATGGCTTTTTCACTTATGGGCTCTCAATAGAACTGTTATATGTCTATTTTAAAAGTGTAGTTCTCTCTCCCACTAATAACAATGAGGTCTTACTGTTCTTCCACGCCTGTAAGCATCAAGAACTATTCTGGCGATTCTGTGTATTAATCCAGTCTTCATGGCAACCTTATGAGGTAGAGATAAATATTTTCTTTTTCACTGATGAATAAACTAAGGCCCAGAGAGGCTAATTAACTAGTTCAAGTTCACCTAGTTAAAAAGTGGTAGAGGCAGAATTTGGATGTAAGCAGTCTGGCTTCAGAGCTCTTAGGCATGATGTTAGTATACCTTCACCACCAAGCCATTCTCCATTCATCTCAGAATGAAAACAAACAAACTATACTGCAGTCACCCCCAATAGAAATCAAGTTACAAATGAAAGGGAAAACTGCAATGAACAGATGAAGAGAGGCAAGACCAAAATGTGAGACAAGACAAAACATCTCACAGGACAACATGGACATGAAAATCCACATTTCTGAAGAGCAAAAAAGAAAAAGAAAAAAAGAAGAAGAAGAAAGAAAATCCACATTTCTTGAGGTTTAGAAAAAATATATCTTGGAGGATTTCAGATGAGGCAGCAGCTCTCAAATTTGATTTGCTCAGTGAATGCCAGTAATTGAATTTAAACATGCAATGCACTAATCATTTGAAAAAACATAAGACTCCAAACTGGATTTGTAAAGAAAACGTCTTTGAAGAAAAGAACTCATATGACACAAAAATCTTTTCTCAAATAACTGTTCAATTTTCCAGCACTTAAAAGTACAAGTATACTGCTGTGGGATCTGTGAGAAAAAAAAATTCTTAAATTCTTGCATTTGTCGAATAAAGCATCTTGTTTTCCCAGAGCATTCTGAGATTTTTCAGAACCATTTTAATTATAGTTTTTCTTGGAGAGCTCTGCTGTGACCTTTGGAAGTCCCTCAGAGCTCTGTGACAATGAGAGAAGGAATTCCCAAGTCCAGTCTCACCCAACTTATGGTTAACTTAATTACTAGCTGGTTCTCTCGGTAAGACTCCCACTGCACTTTTCAATTAATAGTCATTTGTAGAATCTTCAGACATTCTTATAGGCTAGAGGAAATTACTAACTCGATAACTTATGGCATTTCCATGAAATGCTTTGATAATTATGATGGTAACTTTATAATGCATATTCACTTGTTTCCACAATCTAGGCTACGACCAGTGAATTATTTTCTAACAATTTTTTAAATAAACCCCAGGGTAAATCAAGTTTAGTCATCTGGGACTCCAGAATCAGAGATACAGAAGCAAACATGCAACTTCACAGCTTAGAGATTTCCTTGATTTCCCCTTTCACATTTATGGGCAGTAATTCAAATATTTAAAGAGCAACATACACCCACTCTGTATCCATGAGAACTTACCATCTTTTGAACATTCTCCTCAGTAATATTGGTGTTATAATTCCAAGAAGCAAGTGAACTTTGATAAGATAAGTCTTCAGCTTTCTCATTAAAGTTGTCCAAAAATGTCTTGGCCTGTTCCTCTATAGTGGACTGAGCAGCAGTTACAGCAACAAGGCTGAGAAGGAACCAGGAGGAGCCTGACATCTTTCCCCGTGCACCAAGACCTCATCCACTGAACAACTTTCCCTAGAGTAAAATCTCCTCCTGAGTTTTTCTCTCTCATCAGCCTTTGAACTTGGGTTGGGCACTGAGGAGAAAAGAAAAAAAAAGACAAGAGGAAAACAGTAAACAATCTGCTGAACCAATATAAAGTTAATCCTGGAGAGAACAGATATGTAAACAGATTTTAGAATGATTTTTTTTTTAGTAAACCAAATAAAGACATGTTATTCATTAATCCTAGAAAACCTTAGCTCCCCTAGTACTTTACAGCCAAATCAAAACTTGTGCAGTTGGTTAATATGTTCCTAAAAAGCTGTTAAAGGTACACTGAGGGTGTTATGATTTTACAGTAATGAGAGAGGGCTGGAATTAAACATCAGGGAGATATGTTGGTGTTTATATATTTTTGGACAACTCCATTCATGGTTATCCCTCCTTTGTTTTTATTTCAAGATCATTTTCACAGAAACTCAGTAATCTACTTGGGTAACATTTTCCCTTCCAAATAAGTGACTTCGCCTTAGTCTTCATAGAATTCATTTTTCCTGACCAATTGTAATTACCACAGCTATTTTTAAAAGTTGTAAGACTACTCTCCAAGACACAGGTTAACTCTCCTGACATGGCTTTGGGAAATCCAAAAAGCTTCATCTTCTATTTCTCAGACCATCACATTAAACACTGCTTCTATGGCTGACTTCACTATATGCCTCCTTCCCTTTCACTTACCTGTTCAAAATTCAGTGGAGGTCACAAAGTAAGAATGTCTCCACATGCATGAAATCCAAAGAGTGTCGATGTCAAGTTCTGGTCATCCATAGCCAAGGGATCATAGCAGCCCAGAATGCAGAGAGACCTCAGTAGTCATTCTGTTGAATCTCAGCAGCTGACTCAGTCCTTATTCCCAGGGTGTAGGTATGTCACAGATAAAAGAGAGGAGCCACTTTAAATGGCAAGGCTCATAGGCCTGCTTGATTGTGATTGTGAAACCTTCACACAGAGAAAACATTTCTTCACCCAGAAAAACAAGTCTTCCAGGTTCAGGTGAAGTGACAATAACCAAGGCTTAATAAAAATTTCTACTACTTAACTTTACACCACAGTTCTATATATTATTTTAGAATGGGAAAAAAACTGTCTAAAGTGCTTTATGTTGTGCTAATTTATGTAAGCATCACAACAAACCTATAAGCAAATTTTTATTGTCATTTTATGTGTTATGACACTGAGCTTAAATAAACTGCCAAACCTCACTTGTCTAATAAGTGGTGGAGCCGGAACATGAAACCATACAGTCTGATTCCAGATTATAGGCCCTTCACTAAATCGTGGTCTATAGCCTAAAAGCAAAAATGGAGCCACAGGTAAAGAGCAACAGAAGGGCTTTTGCCTGTAATGAAGATGATGGATTGATTCTGCTACATCAAATGTGAATCAAGTGTACTATCCTTTGAGGAAATAAAGCAGTTGCCAGATTGTAATAATAATATTAATAATAAAGAATGGTTACGGAAAGTGAGATGGGGGGAATCCAGTCCAGGAAGTTTCAGTCAGGTTCTCCCCACATTCAAGGGAGCTGAAATCCACTCCTTTCTCACCTGCATTGGGAAACCAACAGGCAACAAAAAGGAAAGCAGCACGTGAGTCTCTGAACAAAGAGTTGGCATGTTACTTGAGTCAAAGCTGAAGCACACCTCTGGTCCTGTAACTTCCTGAGTGGAGCACTTGGGTTTAGTGCTGAGAGGGAGAACGGAGTAGTCCAAATGAAATTCACCAAGGCGGAAAATTAGATTAATATGATCAAATTGAAGTGGAGAAAGCAAAATATAAAATCCAAGCTAAAAATAGATGGACAAGCACCCTAAGATAATAGTGAGGCAGGAAAATGTGGGAAGCCAAGAAATTTTGCGAAGCAAATGCAATGGGAGAACTGTTTACACTGATTCTGTTCGAAAATTAGCTCGGGATGGCCAAAAGCAAGCAATGACTGAATTGCTGGAATTTTTGTTCCACTCTATTGAGAAGTTGTTGCCATTCTGATAGTTACCTGGAAGTGTTCTCTCACCCCATTCTGAGAATAGAAAGAATCCACTGAAGACCTAGTGGGTGGGACCCAGAAAATCAACTGATCCAAAGGAGTGCATTGTCTTTGAGAAAGAATGTAGAAACCGAAGATATCAGAGGAATGGACACACAAGAAAGCTGTTCCAGTTTTCAAAAAAATGGGAATGGGGTCCATTCATAAAAGATAGATCATGTGTGACCATGATATTTGACAAAACTATAAAATATAATATTTAGAATGTGATTTGCACCTGGAAAAATATGTATGTGGTCCACGGGGGATTCGCTAGGAGCAAGTCAGACGCTACCTATTTCCCCTGATAAAATAATATAATTGTTTTTAAAAACCCAAAGACACATTATCCCCTCTTTTTCAATAAGGTGCTTAGCAAAACGTAAAGTGCTACAACTAGACCCAAATGTCCCCTGAAAGAACCTCTCTGCACCTAATTTCTTTAGTGTAAAGCTAATGATAGCATTATATCCACTGCATAGGGATATTGTATTATATGAATTAATACATGAGAACACAAAGAACAATACCAGAAGCCTAGTAATAAAAGCCACTCAAAATGAAAGGAGTAGTGCAATAATGCATTAGCTTCCATATTAAAACATCTAAGCAACTATGGGCATGGTCATCTTTCAAGGATACTGCAACAGAGATTGGCTGACAGCTTGACTCAAAGGTGCACCTGGACTGTAAGACCCTGCATTGTTGAAGTTTGCCAGCTGGTGCTAAAATAGTAGGAAGGAGAAATTCACCAAGGGAATGAACAGGATCATTTGCGAAAAGGAAAGGCAGTCAGTCAAGGAGTCCGCATGAGCCCAGCGGTGGAGAACCTGACAGGTGTTCTGATCACCTAATTATGGTTGGGTCCTGGTATAAAACCTCCTGGGTTAAAGGAGAAGACTGAGTCTATCATTTCAGTCTTGACAAAGGGGATGTCATAAATGCTAGTGATTGTCTCCCAGTACTCACAGATACTGTCTTCATGATTGCCTACACTTTGCACCAGGCTCTTCAAGGCCACATTTACCGGTAGAGATTGTGAGATCCATTTTAGAATTAAGTAAACCAAGCTTTCCAACGTTCCCAACTCTGGCCCAGGTTCCCGCACATGATAGGTAGTAGGGCTGGATTTTGATCCCAAGCTATCTAAGAGATCTCTTCTTTCCATGGAGTCATAGATTCAATCATCAGCCAGCTTCAAATAGGTCTAGTAAATCTTCATGATCTGCTGTGGCCCACATAAGCAAAGCTAAAATGTTTTGCTTTAATTATGCCAGTTTTACATTTTAAAGCCATTTTAGGGACCATTCTCCCTGAAATATATGCCATTCTAATCAGGATGTTGCCTAGATATAATTCTTATTTTTCAGATGTCTCAGTGTAATCATCTTGAACATTATTTACTGGCTAGGCTATAATGTGACGGTGTCATCAAGGCTTTCCATTGAATGGCTCCAGATGACTTTATTGCTATTAACTCTGCTGTCTCTGCACATTCTGCATTCACTGTTACTTGTTGGAGCATCGACTTCTAGTGACCCTGCCCACCAAAAATCCCCTCCTTGTTTCTCATCTACTCTCTGCTAGGATCTAAATGGAAGCTAGATAACCAAGCAGTTCAGTCAGAAAGTTTCCTCTTCACAGGCTCAAACCTGAGCGTAAGTCTTCACTTGGCTAGAGCAAAGTGCACAGACTTTGAGATCCATATTTCCCTTACTGATCAACTTTTTGTGTACTTCCACCTGACTCATTAATGGTAACATTCCAAACGGATATAGCAAAACTCTCCTCTACTTCCCTGAAGTAGGAGATAACTGTACTAAACATCAAAGAAGGAAGGGTGTTTTGTGCAACTTCTTATCATGAAATTAGTTGAGTCATGCTTCTGACGGGAACAAACAGATACCAGGAACATAAAGCATAGGTAAATTGAAAAGCTGACGTGGCCAAGAATTATTTGCATTTAATACAACTGATTTTTACCATGTGTTTATCTCACACAATGAATTTATAAGTGCTTTACAAAAATTGAACAACAAATTGGGGGTTTTTTGCATAAAGGAACAGCTAAGAGCTCCTTCCTGTTTACATTTTTAGTTACATAGTACTCCATTTTTCCTATAGGTAGAGCAAGGATAATAGTCATTAATCAACTGGACAAATATTTTCAACAGAGTTCAAATTTGGAGGGATAAACTGTGCATGCCAGGGAGGTTGTACTGATTATGACTGGCCTTAATTCACGATAGTATAGTGCTTGCCACAGTAACTGTTTATTTATTTTCACACCTAGATTCTACAAAGGATCAGGCAACACTACAGCAAGACAATTATTAATATAAATTTACAGGGGGCTGGGGATTTAGCTCAGCGGCACAGCGCCTGCCTGGCAAGTGCGAGGTCATGAGTTTGATTCCCGGTACTGGAAAAAAGTCAAAAAAAAAAAACAAAAAAAACTTTTCTTCCTTAAAATATAAATTTACAGCTAGGGACTTAGAAACCCTAAGCTTCTAAAAACTTGAGAGTTTGTCCAAAGTGAAATGGGACCCATGATAGACTTTGAGCAGAAGAGTGACATAGCCTCACATCAAAGAGAAATCACTGTGACTGCTTAAAAATAATAAACTGCATTTAGAGCGATATGGTGGTGGTTTGGTGGTAGCAGAGGTGTTGGCAAGATGTGGTTGGATTCTGAACGTGTTTTTAATCACACTGATGAATTGAAAGTGGACTATCAGAGAGTCACACCAGTATTTTTGGGTTGAACAACTAGAAGGACGAGGTTGGCATCAATTCAAATGAGGAAAGTTTCTGTTACAATAAGTTTGTAGGGAAAACTATGAGTTCAGTAGAATTTGTGGTATCTGTTAAAAACCCAAGTGAAGGTGCTAGGAAGGCAACTATATGCATAAATCTGGAGATGGGCAGGATGGAGATATAAATTTGAGAATTATGAGCTAAAGGTGGTTAGTCACATATATCTTTTCAGCCAAGATCAGAAGGAAAAGTTCATTGTTCAGATCCAATCTACTGAAAATTTTTACTTGGTCCAGATCTAAGGAGAAAAATAATATATATAACTAAGAAAAAAATTTACTAAAACAACCCTCCTAGAGGAGCCATCTGTAGAATGAACGGGAAGGTGATACAGGGGAGTTTCAGATTTGGCCAGAGTATTAAATGTCTTCACCAGTTTGTAGTAGAATAGAAATGTCTCAGGAACACAGGCTGATTAAGGTGAAGTAAGGTTTGGGTTCAGGAAAGGCAGATAACATGAAAGATAGTCAAGGTCAAATGGCTTACACCAATTCCAGGTCAAGGCTACAACACTGGTAAGCATTCAATGCACGAGCACTTATTTTGGAGCCAGATCAGATCCTGCCTCTCAGCGAGAGTTTGAAGGAAACTGAAGACTTACGCTTCAGTCAATGCTTCCTAATTGACTCTGAATATCTTAGAACAGGCCCTCACTATTATTCTCCATTTCAGCTTGTGGACTAAGTATAAATTTCACGTTTTGTAATCCAATTGGCAATATTCAACAGTAGCTGTCTCTATGAAGTCCGTCAGGATTATCTTGAAGACCTCATTGTACCCCTCCCTCTTCATTGCCTAAGTGATTGGTCTGGGTCATCAGTGAGTCCTGGTCAAGGCTACTAGGTCCAGCCCAAAATTCCATATTCACTCACAGTCCCTCCAACCAAGGTGGAAGAGGACACCCATAGGGAGCTAATGGAACAATATCCAGATAGAGCCAGTTGTACTAACTTCCAAGGTCAATCCTAGGAATGCTGACAAAGGCAATAACATCCCAATTATATTTAATTCTGCTTTGCCTCTTACCAGT